GGGGGGGGGGGGAAGGGGGTGTCCACAGCCTGCAGGTGGTGGAGATTAATTCAACCTCTCCTTCCTGGGGCTGCCTGGCCAAACTCACAGGGAGTTCAGATCAGCATCCCCACAATGCAGTCACTGAGTCCAGCACTAGCTCCTGTCTCCCCAATAGAAGACCCCTGGGGGATACAGTCCAAAAATCCCAGCTCTGTGCAGAACCAGTGCCCTCATACTGCCAGTCCAAGCAGGAGGGGTTATAAAATCAGCTCCCTACAGAACTCCAATCTCTCTGTGTGGCTGATCTCAGGAGAGCTCCACTTGTGCTCTGAACTCTGCAGCATGGGCTAAAAATCCCCAACCTGCTCTGCTCCCCCGTGCTGTCAACCCAGCAGGATGGAGCAGTCGAGGGTCCACAGATCAGGGAAAGGGTTCCAACCCCACACTTGAGGTGGGAGAATCCTTTCCCCTTTCCCTAAGCCAAACAGTTTAGTCACTAACTGGGGATCTGCACAACGCCTTTTTTTTTTAATTTTTATTTTTTAATATATCTTTATTGATTTCAGAGAGAGGAAGGGAGAGGGACAGAGAGAGATAGAAACATCAGTGGTGAGTCATTGATCGGCTCCCTCCTGCACGCCCTCCACTGGGGATCGGGCCTGCAATCCGGGCATGTGCCCTGACCTCGATTTCCTGGATCCTAGGTCAATGCTCAACTGCTGAGCCACACCCGGTCGGGCTGGCACAATGCCTTTTAAGAAAGAAAAGGGCCCCACAAAGTCACTGCTGGACATAGCACGCAGGCCCCTCCACTGGACCCAAACACAGCAGCGGAGCCTTTCCAGTAGTCAAGAGCCCAAGCAAACTTCTCAGACTGGGACTGCTAATTATAGGAGTACTCCTTCACTGGGAAGCTGAGGTCTCCATCTCCGAGGCAGATAGAATTCCCCTGGTTCCCTCTGCCTGATGCCACACGTGCTCTTCTTGCCATCTCTGCTGCTCGGGGTTTGGGATCCCTGAGCGGGGTTGAGACCGCACATTCCCAGGGGGAGGGAGCTCTGCAGTCAATATCCCTTGGTCCTGTCAGCTGCTGGCACCCCTTTCCATGACTCCTCTCCTTTTACCAGTTTCTACATGGCTTCTTGTCCAATCAGCTACATTTCACTTGGTTTTTCAAGTTGACTGCATAGTATTTTAGCTGTAAATCTGGTCCCTACCTGGGAGCAAGGGCACGCAGCCTGCAGCTACTCTGCGGCCATATTGCCTTTCTCCTGGCTAAATTTTTAAGTCTTCTTTTCTCTTAAAGATGCATATTAATGAACTAATGTCTTGTATTTTACTTTAAAACAATGTAATATTTGGCCCGGCCAGGTGTGGCTCAGCGGCTGAGCCATAGGATCCAGGAGATTGCAGTTCGATTCCCGGTCAGGGCACATGTCCAGGTTACAGGCCCCATCTCTAGTTGGGGGCGTGCAGGAGGCAGCCGATCAATGATGACTCTGTCATCACTTATGTTTCTCTCTCTCTCCCCCTCACCCTTCCTCTCTCTGAAGTCAATAAAGATATGTTAAAAAAAAAAAAGCAATATGTGGAGAGTGAAGAATGGGAGGTTTGAGCACCTGTTGATGACTGCTGAGGCTGGGTAATTAGGTACATGAAGGGGACCATTATGCTAGTCTCTACTTTTCAATAGGTTTAAAACTTTTCATAAGATATTTTTTAACTCAATTACAAATTGAAAATCAGACAGGCACATGCTCTGAATTTTAGATGATTCTTTGTGAGAACTGGGTATGTGAGTATTCTTTAAAGTCACCTCTGAGGTGGACAAAGGCAGGGGATTTTGCAATGAGAATGGTATCACAAACACCACAAGGAGGTTACTCTGCAAAAATGAGCAGAAAGAGACAAAAATTAAAAGCATTGATTTAAAAGATAAAAACACTGACTGGTTCCTACAATCTTAATATAGTACCACTGAAACAAACATGAAAACCCATAAGCTAAAAAAAGCAGCACATCTTAGCTTCAAAAACACACATGTAGAAGTTAAGCTAGTTAGTTATGTGTTCAGTAAATATCCTAGTCTACAATATATCATCTCTCACCTGGATTTCTACATAATCCATTTATTTATTTGGTCTCAATTTCATCTATAAAATGCTAATATTGTTTCTTGAAGATTATTATGAGAGCTAAAAAGAGTGTGTAAAGTATTAGGTACAACTGCTTACACAACACAGGTATTCAATAAATAACCATTTTTTAGCCATTCAACACACATTTGTTAATTTCTTACTAAGCCAAGCACTCATCATCACCCGAGGATATGTTTATTGATTTTTAGAGAGAAAGGAAGGGAGGTAGACTAAGAAAATAATAATTATATATATAT